TTTCTGCTCGAATCGTTATTATTTCCTTCCTTCTACTTACTCTGGGCTTTTCTTGTGGTTCTCTTTCTAATTCTTTGAGTGGTAGGGTTGTATAGTTTATTATTAATTTTTCTTGTTTTTGAGGTAGGCCTGCGGTGCTATGAACTTCCCTCTCAGGACTGCTTTTGCTGTGTCCCAGAGATTTTTTCCCTGAATTCTACTTTGTACGGGGCCGCCCCAGCAGAGCGATGGCAGGCCCTGACTGTGGGGACTCGGGACAGTGGTGCAGAGCACTGGGGGGCCATGGTTTTGGCGATGAGGCAGTGGTGTGCTGGGGAAGAACAGGCGGTGAGGAGGCAGAGAGGGCAGGTTCCTGGAGGCAGTTCCAGCTAAAGAAGGGGAGGGAAGGAAACCCAGCTCCTTAGAACACCAACAACTTTCTCTGTACATTATTACATAGTTAAAAGTCACAGCTGGAGAGGCTCCGGCCGAGACTCCACGTTTGCAGTTTTGTCCTTTTCACATACTTACAAAAGGGGGGCAGGGAGGTGGGGAGCCAGGCGGCTTGGGGGGCGAGTGTAGAAAAAAGAGGGGCTGTTTCCCTGGACAGTCTGCCTTCCGCAGACGGACGGGTGGGAGGGAGAGGTGCATCCGGCAGAAGCTCTGTGGGGGAGGGAAGAGCTCTGGCCTCGGTTCCCCACCCCCCTTATCGGGCAGTTGGAAAAAGTCTTCACTTATAGGAAGTTTGGCAGTTTCCTTCACCCTAAACATAAAAGTTCACCAAATAGTTAGGCGCCTCTGTGTTGGCAAAGGAGAGGAGAGGGTCTCCTGTGGGGTCTGGGCTGGGACCGTGGTCCTCCCCTCACCCCCGCCCTGCGGGCCCTCTGTCTGCAGGCCGTCCAGCACCACGACGCGGGTTCTGTGTGGCCCAGGCGAGAGCCCCCTTTGCTGGCCCAGCCGGGGCGCATGTGCCCATCACCCCCACCCAGACAGCACACTGCAAAGCAAACAAATTAATGCCACGGGCAGGGGGAGACCCCAGCACCCAAAACCCAAACGTCTTCCTCCTGCCCAATACTGTTCTCTAGATTAAAATATAAAATACAAACCATCGGGGAGCAGCGGTCCCGGGCAGCCCTCGGCAGCACCAGGACTAGAGGACTATGTACAACCGTTAGGTGAAATAGTTACATTACAGTCAAACACCAAGAACATTTACAAAAATGGTCAGACTTGCAATTCAGATAAAAATCTGGAGTCTGTACACGTTTACAGTTTTTGCACTAGGTAAGTAAGGTTTTGGCCTGAGAGCTCACAGCCCAGCCAAGGGCCGCCAGCACCGGCCACCGCGCTGGCCACCTGCGCCTTCTGCGGGACCTGGGACCTCCCCTGTATTGCTAAGAGGCGCTCAGTCCGAGGTCGCTCTATGAGGCATTGGTGGGCGGAAAGTCAGGTGGGGGGGGACTGGGGGGGTCACTGGGCTGTGGCGGGACGAAACGGAACCAGAGGACATCACCGGGGCCAGGCCCCGCCTGTGAGACCCCCACGGCCTTCCCTCCTGAGGTCTGTGACCCTGGGGGCTGCCCTCGCCCACCAGCGTGTCTCTGGCCTGACTGTACTGCAGGTTACATCTTAGGGCCCCTTCCCTGAGCATGGTCCAGGCCCAGTCATCACTGATGTTTCTATCTCTCTCACCCTCTCCCTTTCTCACTGAAATCAATAAAAATAGTTTTAAAAGAAAATGCATAATTATTCTATGTCATCTAATAGGCCAAGCCCCTTGCCCAGACTGCCCATTGGGTCTCCTCTCTCCTCATCCAAATCCCCAGCTGGAGTATGTAAGCCCT